ACTCTCTATACATATCGGTTATTGCGAAGAATATTGCTAAGGTCTCGAATTAGAAAAATATATTAGAGAAATATAATTCTTGTTACTGTTATTTATTAGTTAGAAATATTATATATTGTATTATTTAAACGAGACTTTAAATAATTTGTAAATAGTTGAATATAAATGATCTTATTTTATTTATGATCAACATAATCATATTTTATTATATAGATAAACTTTTTACAGTATATTTACACATTATTTTTTATACAATAACAGTGATGGCTATGATTACAACTTGCGCTAGATGGACCATATAAGATTCACTTTTCACAGCAATCACAGCAGTTATCTACATATAGCAGTAATCTCATGATAGACTATAAAACGCGAGAATAGGATAAATTGTACATGATTTTCCGAAAAAAAAAAAAAACTTTACTGTCAACTACCAGGCTTACTACTGGACATAAAATTGATTTATCATCAGCTTTAGTCATGTAAGTACTATATCATTAAAAAAAATAAATCAGAATTTTACATCTTATATTAATACTTGAAATATGATAAAATATAATAATTTTTTACAAGAAAACAAGCATATAATAAAATAAAATTCCAGTCAATAGATATCTTCCATCTCAATACATATCTAAGTTAATCATAGATATTATATTAATGCAGTTATCTTAAAAAAATATATTATCAAATTATTTTTCGTCTACTTAAATATTCTATGTTTACAACTTGAGGAAGCATTATTTGAAGTATAGCAATCCTCATGCTAAATGCAACTCATTACTGAAAAAAACAATTTTTGTTAGAATATGTATCATAAAATATAAATATTACATGTATATCCAGCTGAATCGCTGGATAATGTCGATTAGTGTCTGATCAAAGTTATCCAATATTTCATGTATAGGAAAATTCGTATATTTTCTGATCAATGTAATCTGTATCTCTTTACTCAGTTTCTTCCTTATACCCTCTGTCATGTATATAATACTTTAAATGAATAATACGTATCATATGCTTCGTGGGGTGCGAGTTTTTGTATAATGGTTATCATAAATTATTCTTTGTTAATCGTCCGCGACATCCGCAGCGAGATTAAACATATCGAAAAAGATTGGATGAATTCTCGATATTACGAGAATTGGATTATAAAAAAACAGAAAGTTCGGTTGGCGCCTAGCGGCGATCTGTGCGTTCTTCATGTACAGCGGTGGTATTTTTTATTACCTTATTCTGCCGTTGAGTGCTGGCGAGATTACGGATGAAAACTTGATATGTCAGCCATTAATAAATCCGATTGCCAAGGTGATTGTCGACGCATGATATAGTCCTATCAATGAAATTTTCTTTTGAATGCAGTTTCTATCTGGTTTCCTCGCGCACTTCATCGTTGTCAGTGCATGAAGCTTAGCTGCCGTATTTGTGCATGCCTGTGATCGTCTGGAAATCTTAATACAGAATCAAACAGTTGATGAATGGACGGGAAGATATATGACAACGTGGATGAAAGATTGGCAATGATCGTGTAACGACACGTTTGAATTTTACGGTGAGTTATTTTTTACTAACATCGCTAACGTTTCTTGTATCCAACATA